CCGCGCGGCGTCACGCTGGCGGCGGCGGCGCGTCCGGCGGCCGGCCGGCGCCGGACCGGGTCACAGCTACAGCCGCCCGCCGTCCTACCACAGCTCGCCGTCCTTCTCCTTGGCAGGCACCTCGATCAGCCGCGGCTTGTCGATGATGCGCGCAGTCCGGTTGCCCTTTTCGACGATGCCGATGATCCAGGCCTGGTAGCCCTCGGTCTTCTCTATGTCCTTGCAGTAGGCGGCCGCCTGCTCGCGCGGCAGGCAGATCAGCAGACCGCCTGCGGCAGAGGTGAGGAGGGGCTCGGGTCATTCACCGTCAGCGGACTCGGTAGTCAGGAGCATGGTGTGACGTTTATTGTTACGCGTCGGCTCCGGAGCGGATATCGTACGATTAACACGCGCAGTGGAAGGGGGGGGGGGCGGATTTCGCCCACCCCTCCTGTTTTTCGACAATAATTCGCGCCGCAAGCATAATATCAATGTGAAATTTCGGCTACCTGTCCAGAATTGAATTGCGGATCTTCTCGTGCAAGAAGTAAGAAGATCGGTTCACAACTTTTCTAGTAATAGCGGTGTAAAGTCAAACATCCTGCCGCCGCGGCGGCGCGGCGGCCGGCGCTAGCCGTTACGTGCCGCCTGAATTGTAGACTGTGCCGGGGCGGGACGGTTCCGTCTTTACATCGCGCTCCTTACCGCTGATTATATTAGATTCGCGTCAAATTCGGTGAGAAGACTGAGAAATGTACAGGCAATCATATGGTCAAAGAATTTTGAAAATCGGCCGGTAACAACTTGAGTTATGAGTGTGTAAACACAAAATTGTGATTGCCGCGTTTCCCGCGTCGGCCGATGCCGCTTCAGCCGGCGACATCTTACCCTTAGCAGGCTTCTAACTGCCATATTTATTGTTGGATTATCTAGAAATTCACCATACATACTCACAAATGTTTGCTCTTTCGTAAAGTGAAAGTTAAAAAAAAAAATCGGCCGGTAACTTTTTGAGTTATCGGCGTGTAAACGCAAAAAAGTCGCTAATATGGCAGATTTGACCACATTTGCCCTCATTTGACCTTGAAGATATTGACCTAGGGTCATGAAATTCACACACAACAGAGTTCCCCATGGCCCCCACCTACCCTCTAAATTTCGTCTTTCTAGCTCCAGTGGGAGCTGAGATCTTAGGGGGGGGGGCGACATCCGCCCCCCCCCCCCCTTCCACTGGGCGTAGTACTCGCAACCCTTCCACTGCGCGTGTTAAGGCTGGGTACAACTCGAACACGTCAGAATCATACATAACGATATGATTTCGACGCAAACGAACACCACGAACATATTTTCAGTAAGTTTTATGCACTAAGATTCAGTAAACCATACAAGTCATACAACTCTCAGTACAATGCACCTAATCGTCCAAAGCCATTCAAGCTCATTTTTATCAACTGTTCCGGGAGTAATGATAAATGCACAGCTGCCAACGCCACAACAACAGGATCAACACAATTCAACGCTCCAACAAAAATGCGGAAACCCTCCGATCTTCGCCTTAATTTCTTCCTCTCCCCCCCCCCCCCCCGCATACCTGACGTCTCGGCCGAGTTGCCCTGCAGCAGCTGGAACATGTTGCCGCACGCCTTGGCCACGGCGCCCATCTTGGCGATCACGGGCAGGTTGTGGATGACGAACGACACCTCGTTCTTCTGGTTCCGCGCCAGGTTTTGCGCGTGCCCGAGCAGGCCGAAGCCGGTGACGTCTGTGGCGCCGTGCGCGTTGTACTTGTGCATCAGGCGCGCTGTGGTCCGGTTCAGGCGGGCCATCGAGTCCATGGCACGCGCGTACGCCTGTTGTAAGAAAACGCGATGATGAAAAACGGCAGCCAGACAGTAACCGACCGTTTATGACTCAAAACAACAAAACAAAGAAGCCGCGATAAACGGGATATTAATTTAGCATAGCACGATACCGAACTGCTAAGATCATGCATCGTGCGCTAACATAATCGAGACTTCGATCGATACTCCAAATTGTTACCTTCCCTCCCAGAGTCCCGTACGCCGGGTGGTTCGTGTACCTTTTTGACGTCATCCTCAGTGACGACCAGTTTGATCCTGTTCCAGCGCTCGGGCTGGTCGAGCCACTGGTGCGCGTTGACGGCCACCTGGGTGCCCAGCGGCTTGGTGAGCACCAGCACGTCTCCCATGACGGCCGAGTCGGGCAGGATGAACTCGTTGGGCTGACACACGGTGGTGGCCACGCCGCCGATGGTCACCCACGGGTTCATCACCGACTGGCCGCCCGTTACCGAGGTACCGGCCTCCGCCGCCGCGTCCTGCGGGCAGAGGGAAGGAGGGGGGAGAGAGATATATCGGCAGCTGTCGATATATTTTGTCAGACCTATTATATACTAAAACCCCTAATCAAAAAGGAAAATTGTGTGTTAGTGCGAAACAGAGCAACCAACCTAACCATTCACGTTTATATTCACGCCTAACCTTCATTCGCAATCCGAGGTATAGTCTCGCTAGTCGCTTGAAGGTATCGCATCCCGAAAGCATCGCTGTCGCTCCCTGGTTTGAGAGCCTCTGGTCTTTGAGGGTTGGCCGCCTGGCCGGCCCGTACCGTTTTCACGTTTTCAAGGGCCGGCCGAGCGGCCAACCCTCAAAAGCCCTCAAACCAGGCCTGGGAGCGATAGCGATACTTTCGAGACGCGATACTTTCAAGATAGATTATACTGTTTGGGAGACTACACAGTACACATACACCATACACAGCATGCGTGTCATGAACCGGTAAAAAAAAAAAAAACAGAATCAGCACACAATAGTACCGGTACGTAAACATTGCCCCACTCCTCGGTAACCTGCGAGGCACGTGACGACCCAGGCGGTATATTGGTGACGACCAGCTGTTACTACGTGCAGTAGGTCACACGTCATCCGTAATCTCCCGACCTGTAGGCATGACGGCGCACAACCGACGGACCGGTATCACCCCGCCCCCTCCCCTCCATCCGACGATCACATGACCCCCGTCTGGCGCAGCTGCGTTATCGGGGCGCCCCCTCCCCACCTGACGGTCTACCCCTCCCCGACCGACGCTCCAGGCCGCATGCGGCCGCCGCTGGACGCTGGCCTCCTACCTTGAAGCCGCGCATCATGAGGGGGATGACGACATCACGCTCCTTCTCAGTCAGCTTGGTCGAGATGCCCAGCAGCATGAGCATGTTGTCACAGTCGGTGACGCCCATGGCGTACATGTCCGAGAGCACATTGGAGCAGGCGATCTTGCCTGGGTAAAGTGGCAGATCAGGTTACCTACATTCAGACTAAGAAAGGGCACTTAAGAACTAAGGGCACTGAAGAACTATTTGCTTAACTTCCTAAGGGAAGTACCATGACCTTGACTTACAAAATATGAGGCTTAGTGAGAAGTGTTTATATAGAGCATATTATGATGTTCATTCATGGCTGCCTTAGTTCAAATAATTGATATTACCAGTGGACTGTGGATTATAAAACAAAATGCATATTATGATGCTGGTGAGAGCTGCTGAATGACTCAGACTGAATGAACAAATTGTTGAATGAATGAAGGGTTAAATGTACATAACAAATGAAACTCATTGATCAAACTAGTGGATTTGTATAAGACTATGAATAGATTGAATGAAGCAGTTTCATCAAGACAAAATTCTGCATATGATAACAATCAATTTATCACTTAATGTTACCCATCATGTAGGGATCTTCCACCAGAGGGTAAAAGAAGTCTGTAGTTTGCACAAGAGACAGTCCTCCATGCCGTAGAGGTGTGATGGAAGCATCCATCCCAATACCTGAAACATTCAGCTCTGTTAATGCACTGTAGCAGCACGTAATGCATACGATTCACCCAATACCATTGAAATTGCACATAACAGCCTCAATAATTGCACTGCATTTCCAGCAAAAATGTTGAGCTCTGGTGAAGCACAACCTGAATAATCATGCTTGAAATGCTCATAATTTGAAAAAGGCAACTTAAAAAAGAAAATGCAAAAAACATCCATTTTAGAGGTTCAATGCATTATTCACTTTACTCACCAACTCGTGGTATTTGAAGATGCATAAAATGGGTATGTTCCTGATCCTGGGCACTCGCGTCATCCTGAAGTCCCTCCAAGAGCTTCAAAAGAGTCTCTTGGGGGACTTTACACCCTCATCCTTTCAGATCAGCAAAACGCGTGAGCCGGAAGTTGGCATCCAGCTCATGTGCCACAGGATCAAACGGTCGCCTGACCAGAACATTACCACCGAGTTCTAGCTGTGCCGCTGCAAGAGCGTCATTATTCACAGCATTAGGTTCCATCACCACAAGCAAGGCACTTCAAACCGGACGCGAAACAGCAACAAACTCGCAGACGCACAGCCGGCACGCGCACGGGGGAGCGCGAGAAAATGACGGCGCCCCGCAAAATCGTGCCGGCCACAGCATGGCCACTTCCAGTCTTCTGATTGGTCAAGGACGCGGGAGCGGTGACTGGGGGAGCGGTTCGTTTTCGATAAGGGAGCGACTCCGGCGAGAGACTCGGACACAGGCTCGCTGCTACTAAATTAATAAGTTTTTTAGTAACATATTTTCGGCGAATTCTTTGGCTTTCATTCCTCGCAAAACTCTCTCAGTCGATATGATTTCACAAATATATCGCATGTCCTATCCCTAAGTCCTATTCCATTAGCCTTTTGTAAGCACAATCACTTCTCTACGTGAAAAAAACATCTGGACCCGGAGTTCTTCTACTGTGGTTGACCTGAAGTGGCGACGCGTCCCCCTGGCCTCAACGGTTATTACTTTTCCACGTTCAACATCATGTCTGTGGCCATATTTTGTTAAACCATTTGAATGGTTTAACTTTCAAACGGTTTCGCTGTCCTAGTTGCAGCGTCGACATAGAGCCGGACCTTTGTGACCATAGTGAAGCAAGTCGCTTGTCTCGTCTATCATATCATGGATTAGAAAGAGAAAGAACGACAGTAAAACACATACATTTTTATTTTGCGATTAACCGCAACATATCAATACGACAGCAGAGTTGAATCGCTACACTCTCACACATACAAACTCGCAGTCACACATGAACAGCCATGACTCACAGCAATTCGCGCGTATTCGTCCACTCTCACACTGTCCTGATACAAGCCGTCGGCCGCCACCAGTCACTCCTGTATGTGCGCCGTCCAGTGCGACCGGTACTGGTCGCTCGTCTTCCCCGCCGAGCGGGACCGCTTCCTCTCCACTCTCTGACTGTGTTCCTGCTCCCGCCGGTCCGCGATCTCCTGTCTCTCCTGCTGGAACTCTGCCGTCTTATCGCCCCGTTTTCTGTACGACCGAGATGCCGCCTCTGGCCCACCAGCCTCAGACTCCATCCGGCGGGGCGCCAGCACCTCCTTCACGTCTCCTCCTGACCGGCCGCGGCGCGCCGAGGCACCTCCACCGGACGGAGACCGGCGAGGCTCCACCGCCCCTGAACGGCGCGCCCCGACATCCCCCCGTGCAGTCGACGGCGAGCTGCGGCTGACCTTCGCTCTGGACTCGCGCGGTGGACTACCGGCCGTCGAGCTGGCCCGACGCGAGCTGTCGCCGTTTTTAAGAATCCCCGGTGGGGACTGGCTTCTCTCTTCTCCAGTCGCCGCTGACGGGTTGGAGCGTCGTCTTGAGCTGGACGGACGCCTCTCAGTGCTGGTGCCACTGCGGGCAGACACGTAGCTCGCACTGCGCGCGGCCTTCGGTGACTCCCCTGAAGTCTGTCGTCGCGAGCTGCGTTTAGCGGTGACTGCCTGTTTACTACTCGACTGTCTGCGGGGACTGGCGGCGCTCGCTGCCGTACCGCTGGACTGGCGGCTGGCAGTCCGTCCCACTGAGGACTGCTTGCTCGCACTGCGGGCCGCTGATGACTGACGACTGGGACTGACGACTTGGGACTGATGCTTGCTCCGAGAGACCGACGGCTGGCGTCCCGGTTGGCTGCGGCTGGATGACAGCTGCCTGCTGGGACTATGGGTGATCGACGGCTGGCGGCTTGGACTACGACTCGCAGACTTCTGCCGGGTCTCTGACACCCGATGACTCGGACTGCGACTCGCCGATTTTCTCCGCGTCTCAGACACCTCTCTGCTCGGACTGCGGGCGGCGGACGGCTGGCGGCTGGGACTGACCCGCGCCCCTGACTCCCGTCGTGGCCGTGCTGCCTCCGTCGCTCGCCGGCTGCGGCTGGGGGACGGACTCGAGGAGCCGCCGGCGGACGACCGGCGCCGACGGACCGAGCCAGACACGGAGCTGTGAGCCAGTGAGCTGCGGCTGCCCAGCCGGCCCTGGCTCGGTGAGCTGAGACTCGTCCGCCGCCGGGCCCGCTCCCGGATAAACGTGTCGTCCTCGTCACTGGAACGGGGGAGGTGCGGTTAGCTGTGTACCCGTGCATAGGTGGCGCTGATGGCAGGGGAACATCAAAACACCTGAGCGTAACGCTTCATTTTGATGTTCAAACTCACTGTTTGCCTATAGTTTCTTTTATGAAATGTATTCAGTAATCGATACATTCAGTTCCAAATCAGTGCTGCCTTCAAATGGACAAACTCGATTTAAAAAAGAATATCTCGACAAATAATGACTTGACTCGTAGGGAGTTTGGCGAGCCAGGTATTTGACGGGTTCTCCATAGCGGAGCACGTACCAGAAATAGACGGCCGGTCGGCGGAACCTCTCTCGGACTGCCTTGAGCCGGCGGTCCAGTGCGCTGCGGATCGGACTCGGAGAGCCGTTCCTACCCTCCAGCACCTCAGTCATTGAGGTCTTCTTCATCGGCTGAAAAAGGAACAAACGCACGATAAACATTCATTCAGCATATTTTAAAGAAGAAAACCAATGCGACTAGCGTATAATATGCACAGAAAATGACGTTTTGGTGATTTATAAATGATGCCCGTCCGTGTCAGTCAACTTCCGTCAAAGTATAACATCGTAGAAAAAAGGGCTCACGATATGATACATCACTTAAAGCCCATAGCTTAATATCTGGCGTTGCTCACTTTTTTGCCCATGAACTTGTCGACGACCATCTGGGCCTGGACGCGGACCCAGTGGTCGGCGATGCGCGCCCGGTCCGGGTCGTTCATCACGGCCGGGTCCTCCGACTCGACGATTCGGCGCGCCTTCTCGTGGTTACACATCACCGCCACCTGCTTGGCCATCACTCTGTTGGAAAAGGAAGGAGAAATATCAACGGTCAGGACGTGGAGACGTGTGATACCGGTGCGTCGACGATGTGGTAAGGTCACCTTTGGGAAAAACGTCATGTATCGTTCGCTGGTATATCACCGAAATATGCCCATCTTACGAAAGACAAAAAAAAAAACGCGCTATAACGGATAGTCTGACCCAAATTTAATGGAACTATCGAAATTGATTATCGACATTCAGCATCAACCCGCCGACTCACTTTCTGACGACCTCTTCCTGGCAGATGGTCTTCAGCTCCGACACTCTGTCTCTAACCCGGTTATCCTTCTTCGTCTCCCGATCGCTGACCCGTTTGAAGATTTTCCCCAGTGAGCCACCCACGGCCTGTTTGGCGGCGCCCAGGTCCACACCCTCCTGGGAGCCGCTCTTGCGCACCGCCGCCGGCCGGCCGCGCTTGAACTCGTGGACCTGACGCTCCGTCTCGATGGTGATCTGTGGACAGGGGAGACTGTGGTCATGTGAGCTACAGAAGAAGCCGAGACGAGGAGAGCACTAAGTCAAATTAGCTAGCTCATTATAACGCATGGTAAATTTATTCTTCAGAGTTTGAACTTTTTTAGAAATGAAAAAAAAAATGAGTAGAAGACTGAAAGGGCTGATTTACGAGTTTTCTTTATGAGACATTCAATACCTCGTACGTATTTACAGCATAGAACAAGCGTATCTTTAGTTTTTGCTCGACTTAATTAGGTATGCATGCCTCCCTTTATTTTCTTCCCGTACACTACGCCATTATCATGATGTCACGTAAACGGTGAAATGAATAGTCAACCTCCCCACCTGCCCGCCCTCGCTGTACCTCGACTTTGATTTTCTGCACTGCGACGCAGCGCAGCAGCTCGGTGAGGCAGGCGTCCTTGAGATCCTGCGCGCGCTCCTGGATCACCTCCTGGCGGGAGCCCTCCTCGATCTCACTGCACGAGAACGCCTCCTGCAGCTGCTGCAGCACAGAGTTCATGTGCTCGCTGGTACTAGCCACCGCCTCCATCGCGTCTGTCGGCAGCTGCGAAGAGAGCGGAGAATGGGGCATTCAATGAATGGCCGTGAATGGAAGAGGAAAATAAGTTACATAGTGAATAAGAGGATGGATACTTTACATGGGTACCTCGGATTAAGTTTAAGTGTTGAATGACGAGCAAGTATGGAATCTGACTTAATGACTCTCGAGAGTTGATGGGAAATCAACCGCATAAACGGTTTAGGGGGGGGGGGCAGTCTGCACAGCACCGTCAAACGGTAATTTTGACGCGGCATCCAAATATTCACTAAACACACCAACACATCGCACCTTGTTCTTGGAGATGCCCTTGAAGAACATCTGTTTCCACTGCTGCGCCTCAGCCACCTCCGCTCGCACCGCCTTTCTGTGCACCTTCTGGACGAGCTCCTCGCGCACCAGCTCCATGCGGTCCTCGTTGGTCTGCGTGCTGGTGATGGTGGACTCGACGTCCTCCTGCTCGGCGTCTCTGGCCAGCTGTCGCAGCTCGGCCTGCACGGCCAGCCACAGCTCGGAGACGAGCGCGCCGCGCTGCCGCAGCTCCGACACCCGGCGGACGCGCTCACTGCCGAGCACAGCGCCGGAGAGAGGACGGGAGGAAGAGACAGAGGAAGGGGAGGGAATGATGGATGTGGTGAGCTGAGTTAATGGGAAGACGATGCAAAATAGCAAAATGTAACACGCTAAAGTGAATCAAAGGAGAAAACAGTGTGACCGCGACATCAGTAAAGTTATACGTCCCCGCTAGCGTCACACTTACCAGATGTTATATCTGTGCAGCACACGATTCAATAACCGGATATTTTTCACTGATAGTCAGCACTCAACCCCTTCCTGTCGCAACTCATTCCACATTCTCCTGCCTTCGCTCCCACACCCCTGGCTCGCCACTCACTCCTCCATGGCCCGGCCGACGGCGGTACGGGTGAGACCCCGCGTGGACCGCTCCAGGCGATACGGTAGCTCCACGACGTAGCACTGGCCGCGGTACAGTCGGTCCTTGGCGTCCGTGTGAGCCGTTTTGCGGTCAGGTAACTGTCGAAACAGGCAGAGACGGCTGCAGTGAGACGCGTAGGACCAAACACTCGGAAAGTGACAATGTGAGGCGAGTGGCGACAGAAAAATAAAGTGTGTCTCACCTTCCAATTGTTCTATGTGAAAAAGTTGGATTGATTGGATGGTCAAGAATTAACGTCAGGGTACCTTTTGTCGCGAACTATCTGAGATCGACCTATTCTAAAGACAAACACACTGCAGTCTGCTAAACATCTCCCAAGATAGCGCTTTAACAGCTGTCTGTTGTATGACGACCTCAACACGTCACATACTTGTTCATTACCCTCATATGTCCCTCCATTCTGGGGATGCCCAGGGCCGTTTTTCGGACGGCAAAGTTCGTTTTGAGAGCATCTCTGAGATTCTTGGCCTCGGTGCCGAACTTCTTTTCGACGATTTCCTCTACTTCGCTGTCCGTATCTTCGTCGGATGTGTGGCGAAACAGGCGGGTGTAGCTCTCAGAGACGCGGATCTGAAACAAGCACGACAACAATGTGAGCTTTAAAGGCTAGCCGCGTAACATGCATATCCTGGTCAGTCTCTTGCACTTTACAGGTACACCATGCATATAGGGAATGAAACAACGACAATGCATGCAAGACTATTTCGCTTGGATTATGACATCCCGGTGTTGTTGCCCGACAGCATAGTGGACTAGTTATTTCAATCCAGAAAACCCCTTTACTGTCGGCGGTAAAACCTGACATAGACGACACGTCGTGGTAGTCGCGGTTACCCTCCTTCAATTCGGTGAGCCAATCGTGCCCATGTCGGTCGAGTCACTCACCAGCGGCACGGAGTCGTTGGAGGTGTAGTAGTCCCGGTTCAGGAAGCCGCTGACGGTGCTCTTCACTCTCAGCCCGCCGCCGTCGCCACCCGGCGGGCCAACGCTGCCCTGTGTTACGAGAAGGATGGGGTAGATGTCAGTGACAGATAGATAGATCGAGCAACCGATGGATGGTGTACGAAAAAGAAAGGCAACATATGTTTTAGTGAGAGACATCCGACGTTTCCAAGCGAAGGAAACTGCAGAGCGACATAAAGCGTCATTTCGTAAAATGGCAAGGCGTTTGGCTGGAGCTGTCAGCTCATCAGCAAGACAATCACTGGTAAGTCACTCTTAAGATCAGGACTGCGGAGTCGGAGTCGGAGTCGACAGTTCTGCCCGGAGTCGGAGTCGGAGTCGCCAAAATTATGCCGACTCCGACTCCGGAGTCGGAGTTAACGCCGCATGGGTCTACGTCATGTACTGCACCTACATATTTGGTTGACGATACAGCGCTCGAAATTAGATTTTGTCGAAAAAAGGCAATTTTGCTGTATTGGACGAACGTTTTCAGCGAAAGAAGTAGAAGAGGGTGAATACCCCAGAACCTGCTTTTTAATTATGCGTGCTATTTTTAATACATATTTGCAACGCAAAGTCTTGGAACGCACAAGGGATCGTTTCAGGCAAGATAAAAACATCCCCATTATGAACTTCAATACCATGATTGGATTTTTAAATAGAACCGTCCGGAGTCGGAGTCGGAGTTGGAGTCGGAGTCGATTTTTGAAGCCGGAGTCGGAGTCGGAGTTGGAGTCACCCTAAAATCCATCGACTCCGCAGCCCTGAGATTACGGCGCTCTAACGCAGTACACCATTAGGTCTGTCATATGACGTAGCAACAGGTACCTGCCTCCTGATCTCCGAACCATGGATGGACTGCCTCGAGCGCACTGACACCTGGCGACCACTCCGAGAACTGCGCCCGCTCCGCTTGTCAACCAACGCTCCTCCGCTCCTAAAGGAAAACGATAGGAAAGTCAGAGTAGCAAAACGGTAGGTAAGATTTGTTATTGGAATCACGTCTCTTTTGGCACTTGTGAAATAATATGTTCAGTCAATTCCGTACAGCTGGAGCAACCTTTACGACCCACTCAGACAGAAGGCAATTTGATGCATTTAGACGGCTTTATAACGTTCATCATTACTCATCAAGGAATCATACTCACGAATATTTCACCCCCTTTGTAAAGGGTATTGTTTTCATGAAAGATCTGCATCTCTTCGAAGCAGCCATGAATAAATCACTAGTTCTTATCCCTAGCTTCTATGCTATCGCATGCATCATGGCACGCACAATTGCGGTCGAATGCCCGAAAAAGGATACGATTTTCCACGAGCAAAGAATATCATCGTACGGCCGAGGAGGTCATTATAACGGAGATACAGATTCTCACTCGCCAAGGATGCCAAGGCTTCTCTGAGGTCATTTAACTGATTTTCATGGAAAATTGAGCTTTGGTGCGTTATGCTAACTACCTAGGATTTCGGTGAATTTATGTATAGCACCTAGCTTATCTTACGTCATGTGATAAAAACACCTCCTACAGAAACTGCAAGTAAGCTATATGCAACATATCACGCAATTTCACAAAAACATCAAGAGTTATATAAGGTGCATTGCGTCAACAGATAAGCATCTTTACATTAGCTCCAGATTAAATGTCCCGATATACACTAATTCTTCTCACGCACGCTGTCAGAAGTTGAGCTTACCGGCTGTTTCTGCCGTCCAATCCCCTGGCGTCCTCTTCCCACGCTGCGCCCCTGACCGGCTCCGATTGGGCGTCACAGATCAGCGGCTGAAACAGGGCAGAGGTGAGCTGAAAGGTCGCGGCTCAGGGCGCCGAGATCAGTCGGAAGGACGCGGCTCAAGGGCTCTCCGTTGCACGTACGATGCGGAAGAGTGCACCACACGCACGAGGGCTCACAGCGAAGTGATGACGAAGTAATGCGATCTTCGGAGAAATGTGTAACGGTGTAGTTTTTCGGGCAGGCGCTGTTTGACCTCAAATGATATATTATGACATCTTCATTGTTAGGACAAGATACATACACGAGGAAGTGACAAGCCACTAAGAAGTTAGATCGATAAAAACCTACAGCTGCTTGGGCCCTTAAATACCTGGTTGCCACAACAAATAAACCGTAAAAATAAAGACCGAGGATATTCGGCATTTTCTACTCACCGTCAGAAGTTCGTCATAGCCCCCAGCAGCCACCGAGCCAACACGACTCCGGCTCGACTTCAGTTCCATCGTGATGGCTACCAGACACAGTTCAGGCACATGACTTTGCTACGGGTCGCTGTTGTTTGGTGCCACAGAGTAGCAGTTCATGATGCTAAATAAAGCGTTTACTAGCTATTGGCAGCAGAATATATAGTGTGATCTTTTTTTATTTTCCCTTAGTCATGAAAGCCCGCGCCAGTTTTGAGTAATTCGGTCACAAACATGTGCCATTCCAAGTGCCATTCTGCCATTGCCGTTTTCGTCGCTTTCTTCTTGATATCTTCCAGCGTGCTTCGATACCAGACATATTTTCCGAAAAGAAGATGCCCGATCTTTGCGGTGGTCAAGCAGTACAAAATCCACACCCTACTTAGATTTGACAATCTTCAAAATGAACCGTCGAAATGGGAAGGAATTTTAGGAAACTGGCATGGTCAACATAGCTTGTTTATTGATAATTGTATCAAACCACCAACCATTTAGCAGCATTTCCGCCACGTGTAGACACTTCTATCGTCCGTGTTCTTTTCATTTTAAATATATCCGACACAAAACAGACAGATCCGGCGTCGCGGCAACTACACCAAGACACTCGACGGAATGCAACACCGACTCTCCCCAACGCCGTCCTTTTTTTTCATCCACCGGCAACACCCGACGCGTCTTTGGGAGCAGGGGCCGCTTTCTCCGATCCAACTTCATCCAATCGTCATACGCCCGTGGCGCAGTCGGCTTTCCTACCCAATACCCATCCTTCAAACTAATCCACAAAGCATGGTGCGGTAGCCACTCCAACCCATATATACACTTAGCCCTGCCCTCGCCTGTGGCGGCCTCTCTCCCGACGGTGGTCCCACTCCCCTCTCTTTGTATTCCGCAAGAGCGGAGTCGGTGATCAGAAGGTGCAGCGGGCGGTGTTACTTCAGCAGACTCCATTTCAGCTGCTCTCTGGCCGACTGAAGCACCTGCAGAACAGACGACCCGTCACTACCAGCCATGGACAACCGGCGATACACGACTCAATAACGTAAAAATTGGCAGCTGATTAGATCTGCCGTCCAAAGGCAAAACCGCATATGTCGGGTCAGGTCATGACCCGACATATGCGTTTTTGCCTTTGGACGGCAGAGATCTGCCTAAAAAAGCAGGAACAATGTAAGTTTTGGTGTGGTACGAGGTTTGCATTTTAACAGCCCGGCGCAAAAACAGAAGCATACAACGCTTGCATTGGGCAAGTCGGTCGAGCGACGTGGAATGGCGACCCATTTTCCGAGAAGCATATAGCAGACTCTGAATCGGATTAAGGTTAGCCCATTACAATATAAGTTATTCATGTTGTTCATCAGATATGATGCATAACTTCTATATTTCCCGCGATTTTCTACGGACACTGTGGAAGTATGCATCTACGTGCCATGCAGTTCCTTTCGTGACACTTGGTCATTATCTACTCCTCTCTAAACCTACTACTGTTTCTTCGCAAGAAAAGACGAAAAGAGAAAATGCACCGTAGCTCACAGTCCAAGAAAATTGGTTCTAAGTGAGCATGCATTTCATTCCTCCATACATAAGCCGAACGATTAAACATAAGTTAACTTAATTTGTCTTAGGTCTTTCGTGTGATTGGAGTCTCGTTCAATTTTTACTCAACCACATACGCTGAAATATCGCACTACATGCTCAGTGGAAACCGCAATCATCGACGAACGAAGCAGACAGCCTGCCACATGCTCCATGCACTAACCCATTTCCACCACCACCAGACTACCACCAGCACCAACGACACGCTTTGCCACAGCACCTGAGCACAATCACACAGCAGGCACAGCACGACATCACACTGTCCACAGCCAGAACCCGACCCATGGTACACGACCCCCAGGTACGATCCTCCCCCTGGCGGATTAACTCTCATCAGCGGTGTTAGGGACCTTGCAGTAGCGTCCGCCGTTTAACCACTAATACGTGGCTACAGTGTTATTATCCCGCGGTCGTTCTTCAGCAGAGCCAAGAATTCGACAGTATGTCTGATTCGACACCATATCGGTATGACACAGACCGCTAACATGCAGTGTTGACCAAACTGAAGCCTTAGCCGGCCAGACGGGCGCGTCCACAGCCGTGAAATGTCCCCAGATCACATTACAGGACCGGAAAACCCAAAGCGCTCACTCGGTAGTCCTATGTCAGTGAAAGTAGATGGCGCCATTACAGTGAACAGACCACCGCCGACCAGCCAAGGATATTACATAGCTGATGAGACAACTCAAGGACATTAAAGCGACCCCATAATTTCCAAAGGGGCGACTCAATCACCCATAGTCCAGGGAACAGTCTGGCGTTAGGGAACCTGCAGCGTGGCCCTAGCAGTGCACCGTTTCCGCCTACCACCGCCCACAGTCAGTCGCCCAGGCCAGTCGAGGACAGAGAGAACCCAACACTTACACTTCCTGTCAGACCAGAGACCCTAGCCTTCACCTGCGACATGTAGACAACCAGTCAAAGGTCAGCCACAGGAGGAGGTCAGTTCTCGGCACCAACAGTTCCCGATCACGACATAGAGGAGCCCAGCTTACAGGACTACTTTCTACGCATGCCCCAAAGCCACGAGCACGGAAACATACACGTCCCCCATCAAGCCGATGATAGACGTTGTGATTCACAGGATCACATGATCACCAAGTCAATGTAGTCGAAGACGTAAGACCCACCCGGATAAAAAGGAAAAAAAAAACGTAAGATTCAGAATTTAAGTGATTCCACTAATATCAGCGTCGTGTTCAAATTTGAGAGGGGAAAAAACGCATCGAACATTATTGAAACAGAGTTACAGACGAGAAAAGGAAGTCTACACAAACTTGATAGAAAAACTTCACTTAGTAGCCAAAAATAATATCAAATATGTGAACCACACGATACTTACAACAGCAAATTTAGCCACAATATGACCTCTATCAGAGGTAACCAGAATTATGTTCGGCAATTTCATGATTGAAGAGAGCACACGTTGACTTTATCACCAATTAACTACGAGGCATTGGCATTCTGGGGCTGTTTGCACGAATACGATCGACATAAACATGCCCGTTTCCATCCCAGCACCAGACATGGACACAAACATTGATCTAGCTAGTCATATCCCGACACCACAGGTTAGCTACTACCGTACTAGACGTGCTACATTGGGACACATGCTCCGCCTATCCCACAGCTGATTACTATGTCTATACGGTATACGGATTACGGGGCCGAACGGCTGGGACCACCAGAGAAGGCAGTGACAGAGACTGAGCCACGAATGGCGCACACAGGGCTTACCTGGGCCACCGTCTGTTCCCCGAGCGGGATATCGTCTGTACGGACCGCCACCCGTTGTAGAACCGCGCCCGAGTCGGCCTCCATGATGATACTAGCGGCACAGAAGCGGGGACGCTCAGAGGTTAACGGTTACAGTACCAGGTAGGGCCACACGTCATAGGCTTATCGTAATCACCGTGTGAATAGCACGGTCACAAACCAGTCACGGGATGTACGGCAGAGTTATAGAGCTCACTAAGGGAAGTACGGCAGAGTTATAGAGCTTACTAATCAACGATCAAAGGTCCGTTAAAGCTCTATCAAAAAGTTGAACTACAATGGCCTAAATGGGTAGATGATCTTACAACTGTATTCAGAGACTTTCAGGTCCTTACCCGTTGTCACAAATCTCATCCATGGCCAGCATGACAACATCAATGTTGTCCAGAAGTGCCCGCTTCTCAACGTTCTTCCTCAAAATCATGCTGACTGACTCATAAAGACAGTTCAGCACTGTCATCAAAATGAGCTGCAGACACAAGAAGCATTGTTTTAAGAGACGACAGGCAGGGTGCAACATTCGTCTCATATCTACCTAGTTTTTGCAGCCTAAGATTCCTAAAAATGGGAGACCAGGGACACAACCTCGTGGCATAAGGTGGAATCCCTCAGGCATGCCACACAAGAGTCTCATGGCAGGGTGGTCCACAGTTCATGGAACCGTGCCACAACTATTTTAGATCAGTAAATTGAATGGACTGTGTCCAGGGCTGTCACTGAATTCAGGCAAAACTTTCACACCTAAATTCTTCTGACAAGCTAGGATCATTAATCAGATGGTGGAGGTCGGGACCTTCTGGCAAGACTGCTCTTCTTGCTTATTAGTTTAGGCTCTTACCTCTTCATTGTTTATTAATGATTCCAAATGTGTCAAGCAACTTTCCCAAAAATGAAAAACATACACAAGGTTACAATCAAGCCATAAAAATAGTATCAAATGCATGTTACTTCAAAAATCAGGCCTAGGCAATTGTTACTCATATTCTTATAGACAATTCACCTCATTTTCCTGTGAGCTACCCATGACATAAAAGAAGAGGTCCACATTGCTCTTGTAGATGCAGGTCAGGCCATCCAGCATGATAATTTCGGCGCTTGCCCTATGCGTCTTGCTGAAGAGGTTCTTTTCAAAAGCCTTTTGCTCCTTTGCAGTAGGGAAGGTCTCCTTGTCATAGTACTTGGTGAGAATTCTGTTGCCATCATTGTCCAGGATGACCATACCCTTCACACAGTACAATGATGGATCCTGAAAAAGAAATAAATAAAACTTGTTTCATTACAAAACTGCTTGAGATACATTGCATCCCCTATCACTATCAGTCCTATTCAGGATCCGCACCATTTGAAAAAAGAAAAAATGAAGAAATTTGCATTTGCATACAAATGTGTTGAAGTTAGGCAGACAGTTTTGCATTTTATATTTTGATTTTGACGGTAGACTTATCTTGTTTTAACTCATTGTGATTGTCAGCATCACACAGACTCACACCGACCGCAGCCTGAGCCAAACGCCCAGACCTCACCCTAGCTTAAGCTCTATATTTTGATGATAATTACCGGCATCCCGAGGCGCATCTTGCGAATGTTATAACGCAGTTAATTTAATATGCTTTTAACAAAATTCAATTCAGTTCTTTGCACAGCAACCAGCAGCAAGTGCAGTCAAGGCCGTATATTGAATGTGAATATGATGCAAAACCATTGACCTCTATAGTAACCTAGACGGGCGACTGCCGCGCCGCGGCCGGCACGGAATCGTTCCCGCATGGGGGCGCAGTGGCGCCACCTGCAAGTGGTCAGAAGTTCCCGGTCCCTGCAGACGGTCCATGTTAAATGGGTAACTTTTGAAGTTGATTTGTATGAAAGGTTTAGCCTGCGGATGGCTAAAAAGGATTGTTATGTAACTGAAAATGCATTCTTAAGATGTGATGTGTTCGATTGCCAACAGGATAGCTCGAGCCATTGAATAAAGTGCATTATTTCAAATGACCCGGACGCTGGCAAGTGGGATGGTGCAAAACATATCGAAACGTGGAGAGGCTCCCTGCCGTAGGTAAGGCCATGCGGGACGAGGAACGTATCCGCTTCCCACTCAAGTGGCAAAAGATGATCAATTATAGCAACCGAAACCGCAACCGAAACCGGGGGGGGGGGGGTCGAACGGACCCGCCCTCCTCAGTTTTTTCGCAAATAACTCGCGTAAAAAGCGACCGATCGCGACGAAACTTTCAGTAACCTTGCGTAAATCAGTTTTACACCTACCCAAAAATTTCATGACCCTGACCCAAATGACCTTTGACCTGTGATCTACTTTTCGAGACCATATGTTTGGCCGGAATCGCGATTTGGCACATGTCGGCTCGCATTAGCCGCGCGTTTGCAGGCTTTTCGTAGTTTCAAGCGTTCAAACATGTGATAAAATGTTGCTCCCGTGCATTAGGGTGGGTGTCAAGGTCACCTGAAGGTCAGGTCAGGTCATTGACCTTTGATGACCTCGGTTCACTTTTTCGAGTTTTACATGTTTGTAGGCTAGTTTTGGAGCTGATTTTCGAATTTAGCAACCATTTTAACGTTCACGAAGTAGTTTTGGTGCCTTCGTAACATGCTACGAAGCTGTCAGAGGCGGTTGACACTTGACACCTACTACGAATACCCGGCAGGACCCCTACTGGTTGACCTGACCTGACCCGACCTGGCCTAAATGCATCCAGACATCATCTGTGATCAAAACGAACATGATATTCGTGATCAGCACCCCGAAAACCTCATAGCAGCGACACTTAACGACGTTCTAACAGGTCCCGATTTTCGCGACTCTTTTGTCATTGACCTGCCCTGGAAGGTCAACCAATGACCTAGGACCTTAAAATTGGGTATCATCTGTTTCCTCTCGTCTACTTGCAATTCCATCCTTGATAGTCTGCCAGTGCTTATATAGATCACCATCGATCTGGAATGATCATCTTATCGGCTTCCTCTCGTCTACTTGCAATTCCATCCCTGATAGTCTGCTAGTGCTTATATAGATCACCATCGATCTGGAATGATCATCTTTTCATTTTTGCCACCTGAGTAGAAAGAGCAAGTACGTTCCTGGTAGTTGGTACTGCATGGCCTTACCTACGTCAGGGAGCCTCTCTACGCTTCGATATGCTATGCACTGCCAGCGTCCGGGTCATCTGAAATAATGCACTTGATTACATGGTTCGAGCCATCCTGTTGGCAATCGAAGACATCCACGCCTTAAGAAAGCATGTTCAGTTATATAACAATCCCTTTCAGCCATCTGCATGCTGTATCTGGCATAAAAATCGACTTCAAAAGTTACCCACGTAACATGGACCGTCTACGGGGACCGGAAACTTCTGACCACTTGCAGGTGGCGCCACTGCGCCCCCATGCGGGAACAACTGCGGCGCGGCAGTCGCCCGTCTAGGTTACTATATAGGTCAATGTGCAAAACTATACGCGCATTATAGAAGTGCAGTGTCGTCCAGCCCCCACCGGACACGATTTGGTAGCCGAGGTCTGTGACGTCAGCCGGGCGTGAAGTTTTCCCTTCACCATAGGCTTTACACACAAACTTGCCGAAGTTCATGCCAGGATAGCCCGGCCTGAAAGTGCAAAAATGAATAAATTTTGCCCTCATTAGATTCAGTGCTTCATTTTATAACTAAAAACGTCCGTTATTAGGCCTCAATGAAGGTACAAAGTACTCAAAATCGAAATTCAAGAAGATGCTGTCCGAGCACAATCTGGTAACATCACGTGACTTCTTTTCAGCAGATTATTGATAATTTTAGGATATATTCACACGATTGCTGCCTAAAACATCATAAATAATACATTTGCAGCATTTATTACTTCCGTTTAAGTCATAACCTTGTAAAATGCAAAGTGTATCATGGTAGTCACGTGACCAAAGGTATAACAGGGGGTTGGGACAAACACTCAAAGGATTTCGAGTTTATTGATTAAATTATATAATTTTCATGGTGGAATTGAAAGATTGGATTTTTTCCTAATAGCATACAAATTTTTGTATGTAAAATATTTTCCTTACGGGTGAAATTCTCCATATAAGAAACATCAGTGACGTCACCAGGGCTTTACTCAAAACATCGGATCTACCTGTTTATTATAGGTATCTTGGTGTCGTCGCGCCGCGATGTTTGTGTATGACTGTGTAGTCAGTTATGACGCAGCAGTGACATACCTGATATGACGCGTCATTAGTTGCAACTACTAATTTGAAATCAGTTGTGATGCTTCTGATATTTTACATTCTGTTTAAAAAATGATAAATATATTTACCACATCATAAGGCGTATACGTGACTTTGGAGCATTCTTGCTGGTGATCAATAAAAAATGGTTACCTCTGTTACCTTTCAAAAGGTATCTTTCTTTATACATAGCACTGGTCTTCAGTTTCCTGTTAGCGCCCAAACTGCAGTTCTGTCAGTCCCAACGCATTAGAAAAATGTAGCGGAATGTTCTTGTCTTGCTGCACACTATTGGCCTTTAGCTTTACACTTTTTTCACCAACATCGTTTGCTTGTCTTTCATATAGGTCTTATTGTTTTTTTATCTGTGGAGCTTTGAAACGAGGTGCCAAGTGCCAACGTTGAATGATATGGATGAGGTCGATCAAGGCCACTTGTGCAGCTATTGAGCGATCACTAATAATAGCAAACTGACTCTTTAGTGCCCTGAGCAAACTGTTGTGTGGTGTCGTGCTCGATTGTTGGAGCTTGACTTTCTATATTGATCTTAAAGTTATGTTGCTTTTCTCTCCTGTTTTTCAATTTTATACCTCTTGATGGAAGAATTGTTCAAGACACTGGACAACTCGTGGTCGTTGAATAACCTCACGTGTTGATTCGTCAATATTCTTCGTTGAGCAGAAAACTGTTCTTCTTTACGCATACTGAACACAAATTCTGCGGCAAAATCAGCAGAGAAGGGGCGAAAGTTTTTCCGTGTCTTTTGCTAAGGCAGTATCCTTTTTGCCTTTGCACAGGTCCAAAAAAATCATTTTACTCCGAGATTTATCTGTGATTTGATTTTCTGGTGTGGTGAAGAAGAAAAATGCCTGTTACTTTGGATACCTATCTCCCCTCCGAACAGGAGCTCACAGTTGAAGAGTTGAACATCGGCTACCCTGCCCTGAAAGCTGGGTCCTTCCATCTAGGAAAATATTGCGAAGCTCAACGAGATGTAAGTACCTACCTACTTAGATACCTATAAAAATATGAAAATCAAATTTCCTTGTATGTATGATTGTTCTAGCCCAATGTGATTTTATTGTCTGCTTGTTATGTTATGGAAACAGTTGCTTTTACGATTGCTGGCGGGTTTCAGGAAGCGTTTATTTTGGGACATTTGCCTCAATTGCAGTACCTACCCATTGTTCATGAATTGGTGAAATTTTGCTTTCCTCACTTAGAAGAAGACATGGAAACCTAATAGACATGTATTCATTCAGGGAGTGTGTTTGGAAATGAACAATATTTTGGAGCTCCTGCTCACTGTGACATCTGAAACGAGTGATATGATTCTGTGTCCACAAATTGAAATGTTTATGATGCAGGTTGTTGAAAAATGGTATGCCTGTTAATGCATTGCTAACAGTAATTCATTTTACACTTGAAACGTGCTCGGCTTGTTAATTAGTTAAAAATCAAGATAACTCGGCTTTATCGGACAGTTTCATGGTCTTTATTGCCACTGCTTCAGCGAATTGCATTGTCACATTTGTCACATTTTCACAATATTTCAAAATTGGTGATGGGAAGTACACATGCACCATGAAAATCGCTACCTCTTTCTGATGATCCAAAGACACAATAACAAATACACAATGACAGAGACACAATCAAGGTTCTCTCTCTCTCTCTCTCTCCTCTCTCTCTCTCTCTCTCTCTCTCTCTCTCTCTCTCTCTCTCTCTCTCTCGCTCTCTCGCTCTCTCGCTCTCTCGCTCTCTCTCTCTCTCTCTCTCTCTCTCTCTCTCTCTCTCTCTCTCTCTCTCTCTCTCTCTCTCTCTCTCTCTCTCTCTCTCTCTCTCTCTCTCATTACCATTATTCGTTTTGTTTTTTGCTATTTTATGATGAAATCATTTTTATTTTGGGGGTTCAAAATCACAAAATTTTGAAAATCCGAGATAGCAGTTTTGTAGCGCCGTCTTTTCTCTACATGACCACATAACATAAAGAACTTTGAAATTGCTTGTTAACTGTAGCTCTTGTGATCGTTTCAAGATTTCCTGTATTTTGCTCATTTTTGCTCGAACATGACCTCAGTTTGACCTCAATAACTCCGGACCTAAATTGACCTAAAACTTGAAATTTTGTGTAAAGGTGTCAAATTGATGCCCGGGAAGGTACTGGAAGTTTGGCGGCGCTACGCTCCACCGTTTTTCTTGCTATTCAGGAAAAACAACAGGGGTCCATATTGCCCCCCCCCCCTCCCAACGAGACGATGGTTAACCCTCGCCGGCACAGGCCATTTTGAGTCCTTCGACGGCACAAAGGGGGGGGGGGGGGAAGACAAGCAAGGTGGTACGACCCCCCTCGCGTTTGGCCCCTGATGGAGCTAGAGCTTCGCGGAAAAAACGAGCGTGTTGCCCGTCACGAGAGGAAGCCAATGATACCCAATGTTAAGGTCCTGGGTCATCGGTTGACCTTCCAGGTCAGGTCAATGACCCAAAAATCGGGAATATCGGGACCTGTTAGAAAGTCGTAAAGTGTGGCTGCTAAGGCCGGGGTGCTGATCACGAATATCGTGTTAGTTTTGATCACAGATGATGGCGTCAAGCGTTTAGACCAGGTCGGGTCAGGTCAGGTCAGGTCAACCGGTAGGGGTCGTGACGGGTTCGTATTACCTGTCATCCGCCTCTGACAGCTTCGTTACTTGTTACGAAGGCACCGAAACTACTTCGTAAATGTTCAAATGGTTGCTAATTTCGAATTCAGCTCCAAAAACTAGCCTAGAAACATGTAAAACTCGAAAAAGTGAACCGAGGTCACCAAAGGTCAATGACCTGACCTGACCTTCAGGTGACCTTGACACCCACCCTAATGCATGGGAGCAACATGAAATCACATGTTTGAACGTTTGAAACCACGAAAAGCCTGCAAACGCGCGGGCATTCCGACTACGCCGAATCGCGATTCCGGCCAAACATGGTCTGGGAAAAGAGGTCAAAGGTCATTTGGGTCAGGGTCATGAAATTTTCAGGGTAGGTGTAAAATTGATCAATGCGAGGGTACTGATAGTTTCGTTGCGATCGGCGGGTTTTTACGCGAGTTATTCGCGAAAAAAACCTTAGGGGGGTTGCATCAACCCCCCCCCCCTGTGCCGGCGAGGGTTAAATTACGTATGAGACACAAACTGCTTTGCGTAAATAGCGAGGAGAGTAATGCTGTTGGAAAGGTGTACCTATATGTGCTTTTCTACGCAAGAATTGGATGCTTCCATTCGCCAGGTGCTGGAAAAGCACCCCCAGGGATTATGACAATTATCCGCCCCTGACTATGAACATTCCCTTAACAAAGTCTTTAAGGAGCAATGCAGTCTTAAAAAGTCTACATATGGGGCTTTCCTTTCAATTCCATTTCACATTTTACTCCATGATGTTTAGGACGCCCACAGTATCTCTTCTCATAGTGGTCTTGCCTGCAGTGATCCTGCACTAGTGACTCCTTGGTGGCAAGACGTAATAGAATCAGGCATCAGGATGGTCTGGATCACTCATATAAATTTGTTTTTTTTTGCCGTGTATGTTCAAATGATTGCTAAAATCGAATACAGCTCCAAAAACTAGCCTATGAACATGTAAAACTCGAAAAAGTGAAAAAAGTGAAAAATGTGAAAAAGTATTTTCTTTGTCGAGACGGCTGCTTCAATTGCTAAAATTTAAATTAGAACGTCATGTAATTTGTCTTTAAAAATCTGACTCGAAAAAATAACCCTAGGTCAGGGTCACAGCGGCACAGCCTGACCGAAAACGGTACTGTTGCATTTCAGCTGATCCCACCGTTGAACTGAACGCATCCACTATGCTTCCATCGATCTAGCATATCTATCAAAAGTTATTTATCGAAAAGCTGCTGATGAACTTTGATAATCTGAGATAACCTCAGGGGTATCAGGCATGGGGTTATGGATGCTTTCGATTAGATATTCAAAACTTACCCATAGCACAATATCCGTCCTTTGATGTTTTGTATATTGGGATGGCATACATCTTCATCATTATGAAACTTCTTCTTGCCACATTACACACTAGCACAGTACACAGTACTCACGTTTCCGTTTTTCACCATCTTTTTTTCTTGCAGGCGTTAATTTAGAGAATGGAGGTACCATGCACATGATAATTATAACCGTAACTATGAGATGACACAATGCACTATTTTCGTGTGCATGCTAAAAAACGCCTATCAATTTTGCAGCGCAGGCTCTGTATGTTTGTGGATTCGTTTCCTTCGTTCCTTCGTTCGTTCGTTCCTTCGTTCGTTCCTTCATCTCAGTCCGCCCGTCTGTCCGTTCCTTCATCTCAGTCCGGCCGTCTGCCCGTATATCTGCACGTCCGGCGGGTGTCTCACAGTCAGCCTGTCTGTCTATCAGTCCGTCTGTCTGCACTCTCGGCCGTCTGTCTCTCAGTCTGGCCGTCTAGCCGTCTGTCTGCACGTCCGGCCGTCTGTCTTCCCTTCCGTCTTTCCCTCACTCAGTCCGTGAATGTCTGCCCGATCAGTCCGTCGCGCCGGCCTGGCCACCGCGCCGGTCCGCGCTACCCCCGGGTCTGCGGTGAGAACAGGACGGAAGCTGTGGCTGTCGGGGCTCCTTCCTGGAAGCTTAGCTTCCGGCTTCGAATGTTTTATGTCAGTGGTTCTGGCGAGACGAATTCGGAGAGATCGACTTCATCTTGAAGCTGTGCTCAGCTTGCTGGTAATGGAATGAACGACAACGTCCGGCTGAATTTGGTGAATGTGTTAAGCATTTGATGTGGTATTTTCCTGGCACCCTTTTAATTGCTCGCTGGGACCAAACATAGCTGTTGACTGTTATTTGATTGTCATTCTCAGTTGTTATTTTCTCCGTATTTTACCATTATAATTGCTGGTTATTTGTTACTTAATTTGCTCTCGAGGTAATCTTTTTCATTCAACCTTTTCTAAATAGATCACTGCAATTGGACCCTTGCCTAATGCCTATGCATCTTGTATATTGCATATTCTGCTCACCATGCAATAGCTTGAATTTCATCCATGACGCCTTGCCATGAATTCGTCTGCGATGGATCCCTCGTCCAGACAGTTTGTCTCCCCTAGCATTTTGCAGACGGCTTGGTGAGTCTTTGTCCTTCATTGAGAACAGTTGAGGCAATTGCTACGAGTAGAGAGGCCGCAGGCTGAAACTCTCCCGGCGTGCTCACGTTCTGTGTCCATGCTTTCCTCGTGGTCGGTAGTTAAAATAACAACCGTAAACTAGCACGGTGAGGTACTGCGCACTGGCCTCGCTTATTCGCTGCTGTCGTGCTTTGAACGAGCATACGTATTGTGTAATTTGCGTTATATCCTTTTTTATATAATTATTTGAATATGCAATAGATGACACTGGCTCATTTCTGCACAGGGGCTTGTAAATATATGAGTATACCCTCCTCATAGTGTCGGCAACCAAAGTCAGCAATGCGTGCAATTTTAAGACGCTATTTTGCGAAAAGAATTGCTATTTTTTTTTAAATTGCAAGACACCTTTAATGACTATACCTGGTATGCTAGTTAAAGCCCAAACGAGACATCTTCGGCTTACCTGGTACAACTACACCTTTTTGCATTTGAAATCAACCATTCGCCATAACTGTTTGAGGAGCCATTTCGACAATCGGCATTGAGCACAACTATTCCGGCGTGGTGTGTTTCATTTCAGCCATTCAGCAAAACAGATTGAACACTGAAATGAGCGATCTGCAAAACAGTTTAACAGTTCGCCAGACTTCGGCATAGAGGGAGCCAGCTCGGCATATGACGAATACTTTCGACCATTGACGACTTGTTTTGCCCAATGTTGAACCATTCGTTCAATGTCGAGTTGCAGAGGAAGATCGCCGAAAAGTTTTGCCCAATGGTGATTTTTTTGTGACCAACCGCCCATTTGTAGCGCCACCTATATGGCGAATGTGTACCTACAAATGTTTTGCCCCATGGTCAAAAGCTAACGCAAAAAGGTGTATTAGTTTTGTTTTCTACGAACGGTCTGAGAGAATTGAGCACTATTGATAGCTTGCGAAATTCTTCGGATTGTGCTCTTTTTAGCAACGCATTCAATGCATAGAAAGTATGCCCTCCTGACGGCATGGCCAACTGCACTCATTTCGTACAAATGTTACCCTCCCGGCCTGCTACTGGTAGAAATGCTGGAACTAAACACAATATTGCAAAGGCTTGATTATTGACCGTTACACAACTTTGTGTAGAATGTTCCCCTAGACCTTCTCCTATTATCTGTCCCTTGAATTACATCATTTAAATCATGAATCTGACTCATTTCAATGTGTAGTCGTGAAGTCACGCGCTGGTGACGTACTATGGCGTGAGGATGGATGTTTCCATTTATTGTATTTTTGCGTTGCAGGAAGTGACGCATAACGTCACGTTTCCCTTCAGTGGTGACTCAGTAGAGTTAGATGACTCGACATCTCTTTGTAATGATTCATAACGGTGTTCGTCACTTTTTGCGGTGGTGGTTGGGAGGGGGGATGAAAACTTAGTTGTGTAATTTAAAACCTGTATTGAGAAAAAATATGTACAAAGCGCCCGTTGAACAACGATCCAGCTATAAACGATACAAAACACCGAGCGACCCTAATCTAAGCTGTGTCCCGTCACCTCACTCGTGCTCGTGCTCCCAATACTGGAGTTCCCGATCGACACTCATCAGACACTCGTGTTCCAAATTCAAGGTCACCATAGGTATCCGTATTCACTTATTGCATCGGTCATGAGAACCAGTAAGTGTAGCAGTGTAGCACATCAGTGTAGCAGTGTAGCACATGCTGGTGTCTCCCCCTTTTCCAGATCTCTTGTGGTTCGTCTTAGCAACTCTTCATGTTCATAAGCGTGCAGAGTTTTGGTAAAACATACAAAAGTGAGCTTGATGATGAACATGATCTATTTTTTTTATCAAATTGCTTCTTGCTATGTACAACAAAAGCACATACATAGATTATCAGTGGACACGTGTCGCAATATGCTTGAACACATTATCTCGCAATATCAAAATGATGTTGGTTCCGGATGAGAATGAGATGGCGCTGACAAGCACACTTCAATAATGGCAGATGACAAATATCAAAATCCAAACATACGCACACAAAGCGTTCGGTAGCACACAGTTGAGCCACTCGCATCACACACAAACAGGCACGTTAAAATATCACCATAGATAAGGTATCTACTGACACAACCGTCGTAATTTTGATTACGGTATTGCATGGACGATTCCCGCTGGTTACAGTATCCGAATATTGAACGATCCAACGGTAAGACATCCCGACTAAAAGTCCGCTGGACTTGGAGTTGGCCATGACAGACTTAATCTATTTTGGCGGTGTAGGTTGTCTAGTATTTTGACGGTTGATGTGACTAGTGTGCGACCGCACAGCGGGGCAGCGGAATGAGACGTTCGAGCACCGGGTGCAGGCGATCCTCCAGGCGATCCTCGGTCCTTCATGGCAGTCTGACAAGTCAGTTCAGAGCATCACGATCCCGGTCCCCTCGCGGGGCCGACGTCCTCTCCCGAAGCGCAGCGGTCGCAGAGGGTGCGCGCGATTTGACTGCGGCGGTTGGCTGGTTAGCGAGCACAGATGGTGGTTGTCACTGCTGACTTCTCAGACGGCCATCCCGAGCGCCGCAGAGGCGGCCAGCAGGATGGTCAGCGCCCCAGCGACAGCCGAAGAGGCGCCGCTGTCGTAACTGACCGTTTTCAGACACTCGAAGTCGTCCGAGTAAGAGAGGAGCCGGTACTGGTCCAGCACCTTGTTGCCCTCCACGCACCTACTGGTGCTGTAGAGCGCTCCATAGACGTCCTCCAGCTGGAAGAGACCATCGCTGTGATCTTCGTCGTCATCCTTGAGATACTCCTCCTCGCCGGCGCTCACTAGTTCCTTGAGCTCCTCGCAGCGGCACGCGAAACGGTTGCCGTAGATGCGGTAGAGCGCCGAGTAGCTGTCCTTCTCGTCGGCTGGTGTCAGGAAGAGGCCGTAGCTGCCGTTAGCCGAGGCGCGCAGCGTGTTCTCGGCGAACGTGAAGGCAAACTCCTCGGGGCTCTCGCCGAAGCGCAGGTTCACCGGGTCCAGCCGGACAAACTCTGAGAACACGGACGCTCCGAGCCGCCCGATCTCGTTGCCCTTGACGGCGGCAGTGGTGAACTCGACGCGCAGCGGCGCCAGCAGGCTGCCGATGGTGTTGTTGACGATCTCGATCGTGTCCAGCGTCATCTCGACGTCCCACGAGTCCATTGACGAGATGGTGTTGCGCACGAGGGTCATGTTGTTGGAGTCGGTCGAGTGGGCGTTCGGGCGCGCGTTGATGCGCAGTGTGTCAACCCTCTTGATGGTGTTGTCGGTGACCGCGACGGAGAGCACGTCGCCGATGCTGACACTGAGCGAATCCAGCTTGCACTTGGACACGGTGACGTTGTCGGACTTGTCGACGACGATCCTGAGGTCCTCAGCCACCGAGTCCGTGATGTGCATGTTTACCACGTCGGCACCGTCGGGCAGACCGTCGAGCGGCAGCGGGCCGGTGACGACCTCGGCGATGTTGAGCTCCTGCAGCTGCGTCACTTGGCTGAAGGCCTCCTCGTGGACCTGGAGATCGGCCACGCGCTGCACGGTCACCCGCCGCCGCGGGCCGCCCTCCGTGTACAGGGAGCTGGCCTGCAGCTCCAGACTGGCGATGTCGCTCAGCTCCAGGTCGACCAGCGAGATGGCGTTCGATAGGGCCTCCGAGACCAGGCTGACGTGGCTGCAGTTGTGCACCCGCAGACTCCGGGTGCGGTCCGACAGGTACGCCTCGCTCCTTGCCCCCAGCATCAGATGCTGAAAAATAAGTTTAGAGTTAGTTTGGGAAAGTGAAGACCTTGTGGGTAACAAGTCAATGTGGGTGCATTATGGGAGAGGTATGCCGCATCTACATAGGTGTGATGTTTCACAAGAGGGGTTCATGGAACAGCATGAATGTCGAGTGGTGCGGTGTGCTAAGAAACCGGTTTCCATTGGCCAAAAGTAGAAACTCAAACGACCGTTGCGTTCAAACGAGAGCGGCATGTGACCAGAATTGAACTGAAGCGCGAGTGCTTCGGCTCTCTCTAGACAACCGCCGTCGAGTTTGCAACTGGCGTGAAAGTTGCACAACTCGCCGAGCCAAGGCCATTCACTGTTTGTACTAAAACCTGTTTTTTAACATTTGAACTGGATCTCTTTCTGTTGATACTGTTTCTTGCCCTGAAACATTTGCGAGCGAGGGTTTTTTTAGCACCGACATAGCGAAAACTAAGCCCATCTCAGCGGCGCAACTGCGGCGATTCGGTTCGTTTCATACGGTCGTTTGCCGGCGGTGAGCCGGGCCGTTGTCCGGCTGCCACGTCCGCCATACTGCGCAGCTGGCCACTGGGCGTTGTCCCTAGGCTCTGACTGCTCACCTCATTGCTGCCGCCGGTGCTGCAGTCGCAGGTGACCATCTCCAGTCCGTCCAGGTCCTCACAGGAACACTCGCTGCGGCTGCACACAAACTGGATCGGCCGCGCCCCGGCGCTGGCCTGGGGAGCGGCGGCCGCCATCGCTGCCGCCGCGCAGAGAACGAGCACGATCCCAGCCGGCCTCATAGCGTCTCTCCTCTTCACAAACTTCTCTGGATGTCCACACACTGACTGCTCGTGCTCACCAAGCGCGTTGCGAGCTTGCGGCTGTCGCAGGAGGTATAACGGCGCCGGCCGCGGGCACCAGCTTTATGACAGCTGCGTCGCCGAGCTGCGCTCCCTGGAACAGACTGGTCGTGATTCAGCCGCGCAGTGGCGGCCCGCTCCGGTCGTGACGTCACTCCTCGGACCGCCGCGCCGGCGGGCGTGCAGCGCGCGGCACGTTCCAGAAAAGCGCAGAGACGAGAGAGATGGCGAGCGTCCGGCACGGTCGCAGTGCCACACAGCCGGCTAACTGCCCCAGCGTGCTGCCAACGAGGCCGAGCCGCCCAGCGTCGTGCCACGAGACGGGCCTGGTTCAAATATCGATTGATGGTGTGCCCTTGAAGCCGGCCATCCGGTGTCGGTTGGCCGCTCCCTCCGCTCAGCGGCGGCCGGCCGCGTAGTACCGGTCCTGGAAAGTGTGACGTCATCCAGGTGTGGCGTCACAGGTATGAGGCCTTCAGGTGTGACGTCGGACCGGATTCGACCAACCAGACGCCGTGTTAGTGGAAACGAATTTCACTGGATGCTTCCACAGCCTATGACGGCATAGTTTGACGTCACACACCTGTGCGGGTCGGTTAGCGAATAATTGGGCACTGCCGGTGATTGTGACGTCACACCGGGGCGGTTTGAATCGTCCAGTGACGGTGGTTGCGTCACCGCCCAGTCACTGACAGCGCGCATCGGCCGAGCTCCTGCGGAAGGAAGCGTCCGAGCCTCCTGCCGCTGAGGTGCCGCGGAAGGGGCCTTGGAGGGGCAGATGACACACCTCACTGACTGGACGTCATGTGAGGCCAATCAGTGATGTGATTCATTGCAGGACCAGGAGTCCCTGAGCTATGAGTCAGCCACCAGAACTGGAACATGGAAACAGCGTGGCTGGCGGAAGGAAGGAAACGAATTAGGAAGTGACGATTTTAAACAGAATCTGAGTCTCTTTTCACTGATATGGTGGTGACTGGTAAGCGGTGACGGAAAGGGACAATGGACATATATGGAGAAGTAGAGTATCGGGGATTTTTTACTTACTGCGAGCATCCCCAGCTATCGGACGTGACTAAGACATGCAAGACATGCTAGCTCATAGGTCGGTTGCAAGCACTGTGCGGTGTGCCTGTAGCACGTTCACCGAGTGCTTTAGCCTTAACTGGTGCTAATTATGCGGTTTTATGTGCTCGTCTGACGCCTCCACGTTTCACGCGCGTCCTGGGTATCTGTTGATGTAGATATCGTCCACGCAAATGTTTAAATTACGGCCCTAATTTGTTAAACACTCGCTTTACGGTGGACTTGCAGCGCTATGTCCCCGCGGACCTGGTGTCTATGACAACCGTCCCACTCCCGCCCTCGCCTCTCCTTGGCGAGCTCTATTGACAGCGAGCAGCCCCTCAGGGCTGGCCGCTGCCGCGAGAGGCGAGGGCTGTGCAACTGAAATGGTCGTGTCGTGTGGCCAACGACTCGTGCTGGTCCCCTGCCAAGGTCAGGTCGTGGCGTGGTGACATCAGAGAACTGGGAAACGCCCATCCCCGCTGGCAAGACAGAGGCGTTATGGATCTTGCCTTGGCTGGTGTGGTTCTCTGAGACAGGCTGGTGGGAAGATTGGCTTGAAATCACAGGTCACAGTTGTAAGAACTTATTATTACATTACCGATTGCCACCGAATTCACCGGCCTATCTCTGCTACCTACCCGATATATTCTTTATACCCTCATCTGTCCCACTTATCTGCACTATTCCATGTTTCCCTTCTCCTTCCCTTTATCTCTTTTTTCTCTCCCTTTCCTTTATTCCTTTTTGCTCATATATTTGCTCTGCTCTCCATACTCCTGCCATTTCATTCTCTCCGTCGGTTCTCCTCTGCTTCTATCATGTTTGTAGAATGACGCTGAAGAGACTTCTAGTCTTCTTCCAGTGCGCAATATTGGTATTGCACTATGCAGTGTGATTTGCAAAAACGGCGCCTGCGCACATAAACTGGCCCGTCGCAGAGCGCTCTGACATTTCGTCATTTCTGTTGTGTATTCCGTCAAGGAACATGGTTAAGTCCCTATCCTGGGCCTATCTTCTTTCCGTGAAGCAATTCCTTGCCAACCCTTTGTCGCTGGGGGGGACTCACTCATTGTTTGCTGCTGAATAAAAACATTACGCAAGCAAGCCACCCTACCTTGCCCCGAACTGAGTCATGCCGAGAGGAGAGTTCTACTGTCCCGCATTTCATTGCAACTCACTCGAGTTGCGCCTGAGCGACCTCAGTGCCGACCGCATGGAGTGTGCTGTGAACTCGTGACGTCACGGCTCTCCCCGCGCTGTTCCCCCGGCACCACTGACCTCGCAGAGCTCAGTGTTGCAGAGGGCGCCAGCAGGCCGGCGCGGTGGTGCGCCCGGCCTGCCATCTAGGGGTGCGGTATCGTACTGGTGCCTCCGGCGAGCATTATCGGCGTGGCTGAAAGTTGAAACTTTATTTGTGTAGGTAATAGGCATCGATCAAAGACAAATGCAAAGGCAAGAAAAAGTTTTTTTTAGAGGCTGCCGTTAACTGAAACGCCTCATTTGGTAGCTTCAATGTGTTTGGTCATTGGTGAACATCATAAGTTGATGAATTGATGAACGATTGAAAACAATTTTGAATTGAATGATATTGTGCAGCAGCCAGTTTTATAACATTTGTAAAATCAATCAACTGTCGTGCTGACGTAGAGGATTCAGTTAGGTTTACTGCCAAGCCTCATGCATTTTAAATCGTTATTTCCATTCCAATATGTGCAATTTAGAGAAAATTTTAGGTTTTTAATTCTGTGTTTCCATTTAAATGAAGCAGACAGCAATGAATCTGGCTCTTGCATGAAACTGGCCAGACTTATTAACATTAAACTATCGAATATGCTGCTTTAATGTGATTGTGAAATTATCGGGCTGTAAATATGTTCTCTGGCAAAATTGTCCCGTCATTCTCATAAGTCATCACTCCGGCATTCACTCTAGAATTTATGCCTGTCGTCTAGTGTCTACACGTTAATTATGCATGTATGCTTTGCAGTTCCTTCGTAATAGGTATCTGTGCTATCAATATCAGCCAGGAACTTCGCCGTTTCAGTTTAGCGATAACTCTGAACACATGTTTGCTATTCAGCTCACTATACCACCTTTGCATATGACCTTGATACGGTTATTTATAAAATCATACGGGATCCTGAACTAAACAATGTAAAAAGAACCAGTGAATGATGAGTTCACCTGGCCGGATAATCTGATTACATAAGTATCGCACGGATCCCAAATGGGGCCTTTCTGACTGACCGGCGAGCTTTTGGTTGACGTTTTACGCCCCGTCAATTCGTTTCGTACAGATGCAACCATTGATTACCAGCTTGTTCTGTCGGACCGGGATACCACATCAAATAACTCTGCCCAGTCATTCGACCACTCTGATATTTAAGTTAGCACCGGATGATTCTTATATGAACGCCCCGACCGCGCCACTATATCACTACAGGTTAGAATTATCTCGCAGAGATTACATGAGATACGGTACTTTGATTTCACATCTTGAACACAGCGTATCGTCCAGGACGTTGCTCCTCAATGCCAAATCTGCCTGGCAACCGCCTGGAACGATCGTGATCGACATTGGTTCGCAGCTATCGGACGCCCACTCTCCGACTCCTACAGTCTGGGGCACAGCCACTCGGCCCTCCATTGGGTCAGAGATGCGTCAGATGTGTTCGCGTCTGATGTTTTTCGCAGTTAGGTCAATTGTGTTACATACTGTTCGTCGTAGTGCATACCCGGAAAGATATATTTCTTATGGTACAGAAAGTTTTTAACGATATTCACTTGTAGATTTAAGGGACATCACACAACTCAGTATTGTACGTTTGGCGGCTGGCTCTAGCCCATGTGAGACACGTCACCCGCTTATCACTTGACTCCTACTCAGACCAGTCATCTGAGTCAGACTAAGCTTGTCAGACTCTACGAATCAATTGTGACAAACCTGGCATGACTGATCGGAGATGTCTTTCCAATCCCGCCAGACCAGCCCGACACTGCACCGGAAGCCCTTCCGTTGCAAATGACAATCATTACTTATCATAAATCTGAGAACAGTCGTGCCTTGCGGACACATCGTTACAGTATTATCATACGGGATATGACACATTGACACAGCTAGTCCAGTCCGCTGGCCGGTAAGAGACAGGACCGGTATGACATGCTCAGCCCACTGCTCAGGGAAATACAGACTGCAGATACTGCGTGATCTTGTGAAACACCCGGTCCCCAAGTACATGCTACAGTGGGAATTTTCGAGCTATTGCTCCTGTAATAATCCTGGATTGTCGTGAGCTTGAGTGCTATTTATAGAATTATATGTGTGTTAGATTAGTAATGAAATGCTCACAGGCTGCCCAAAAGTCCCACTGAGCATCAGCACGGGCAATCAGCATGCCTCCGATTGGCTTGTGTCTGGAAAATGCCACTTTTTAGCCAAATGTGTCGATAGTCCCTTGGATCCGCCAGCGTAATCATGTCTGATAAATTTAACACAGTTTATCCTGGCAATCAAACAGACGAAGCTCGCAAATGCACAGCTTTTCCGCTTTATACTATCCGCTGCATATGTAGATGTAAGCGATAATCTTGCAATTTGACTTGCTCATCATTCTATTTATAACCGCTATGACCCACATTATCACCTACCGTAAGGTGGGGCTATTTGAGACAGTGGGGCTATTTGAGACAGTATTTAAAATTGTTATAAAATAAAAACCGTTCGAAATTTATGCTTAATTTTTGCTCAGGCGATTTACTGCTCGATTCCACACCTTCCTGAGCAAAAATATCACATAAAAATCAAACGCTCTTCATTTTACAGCGATTTTAAATACTGTCTCAAATAGCCCCACTGTCTCAAATAGCCCCACTTTACGGTACCTGTAAATCCCGAACTTTTTAAGCTGGATATTTCCCAGTGATATTACGAATGCCAGTTTTATTGGACAACGGAACATGATGACACATGCTCATTTTTTCGCCACGGGAAGGCCCTCTGGATGATGCCTATATGCGTGAACCATGGCTGTCCAGAGATAGCAAGTCTCTTGTTCCGATTGACGGTATACCTGGGACATGGCGTAAGTCTGAATTACGGAAGAACTTCAATGCATTAGGATTTGCTTCAGAGCTTTAGCTTAAGTTTTCAATGATGGAAGGGTGTTTTTTTTTTAGGGACGGTACCGATCATATTGGCATCGTGACTTCCAAGTCCTTTGCGTTCAGGACTTTTGATGCCTCTACTTCTGGAGTCATTTGGAAGACATCTTGGAAATAATCAGTTATTAGTCCTTTCATCCCTGTATCAATTGTGGCATGCATCCAGGCCT